TCGGATTAGGGTGAACGATGTCGGGAATGAAATCGCCGTTTAGGCAAAATTTCAAATAATAATATTTATCTAAAAAATCGAAAATACCCTTTCTAATTTCATTCACACAGCTTTTCTCCCATGTCAACGTCGGACTCCCTTTCCAACAACGTTTTGAATATCATATGCGGCGAGTGTCAAATTATTCATTGGCATGTTATCATTCTTTGTTTTCACTCGAATCCTAATGGAATGCAGGCTAAGAGGTAAAAGTTTTAGGGTCTTCTGTGATAATTCTTGCTCTCAAGAACAGAGCAAATTTTTAAAAATAACTCTGGTGGTTATACTGTCAATGGTTTTTAAAATTAATTTCTTTGCATACTGCAACCACTTTGAGCATCTATCTATCTATCCGTCCGTCCATCTGTCCACCCGTCTGCCCATCTGTCTGCCTGTCCCTCCGTCTGTCTGTCCATCCGTCCATCTGTCTATCCGTCCTTCCGTCTGTCTGCGTGTTTGTCTGTCCATCCGTCCGTATGTCTGTCTGTATATCTATCTATCTATCTATCTATCTATCTATCTATCTATCTATCTATCGAATCGTCTACGTCTGGGTGCCCTCATGATCACCCCCTTAACTTAGGGTCTTCGCAATACTTAGCAAGAAGGGCCGAATGTTCGTGAAACGCCAATGCTGGTTCCAGTATTGACTATCCAATTTCTTGCATATATTTAGCGCCACTTCATAATGTTTCACTTAATAAAAAAATACAACAGAGTCACCTTAAATAGCATTGATTCCCAAGTTACGTGGGATCTGCGTCTTTTTTTTTTTTTTTGCGGGCAGTAGCGGATGGCGAAATGTATGCCACGAAATGATCTTCATTTGGTATTGCAAAGCGCCAGTACTGTGAAAGCAATCGAGTAGTTCTTATACAATAAAGCCTTATGTAAAAAAACACTCCAAAAACGCAAAAAAAATAATAGCTGGCCTCGCGCAGCTCGGCCTCCTGCTGGCTTCGCAGCGCTTGTGGAGCGCAAGAATTGAACGCAAATGCACCCACTCACACAGCAGCGCACCATGCGGGCGCTGCCGGCAGTCATCAGCTGCGGGGCCATCTCCTAGCCCACACTCAGCACACTAGGCAGTATATTTCTAGACACTGTACTCCGTGGTACCACTGAACACCTATAAACTACCATTTATAGAAGGGAAACTGTACCTTTGACAGTGAGACGAAAATTAAGATAGCGGTGGCGTTGCGAACTAACTTATCCGACCTAGAGACGACGCTGGCAGGACTATCATAATCAAATAAAAGGACAGAAAGGCAGCTGCGAAATTTTGGAGAATACTGGACACACTAAGTGTGGAAGATAGAGTCACTAATCCTTTAAAGGAAATCTATAAAAGTAACAAGGTAGTTACTGTGGGAAAAACAGGTATCGAAGCTCACAGAGCTGAAACGGGGGCTTAGGCAGGGGTGTCCTCTGTCACCCATGTTATTCATGACGTACCTACATGGATTAGAGGCCAAATTAGAGGGAAGTGAACTTGGCTTCAACCTATCTTTCGTCAAACAAGGAAAACTCATTGATCAGGCACTACCAGCATTAATGTACGCAGATGATATAGTGCTAATGGCCGACAACAAGGAAGATTTGCAGAGATTGATAAACATCTGCGGTAATGAGTGAGATAGGTTAGATTTAAGATTCAGTAAGGAAAAATCAGCAGTCATGCTTTTAATGATAATGAAGGTTGTGAGCTCAGGACACAGGAAGTCACGCTAGAGATAACAGATGAATATAAATATCTGGGCGTATGGATAAGCAATGGGACCGAGTAGCTAAGGAAACACGAAATATACGTGACGACTAAAGGTAACAGAAATTCAGCAGTGATGAAAAATAGGGCACTGTGGAATTACAGTAGGTATGATGTTGTATGATATGGAAAGAAATCATGGTTCCTGGGCTGACGTTCGGCAATGCGGTCTTGTGCATGAGATCCGAAGTTTAAGCAATATTAGAAATTAAGCAACGTGGAATAGGTAGGCTTGCTTTGGGAGCTCACGGAAATACACCAAATCAGGGAGTACAAGGTGATATGGGATGGACATCATTTGAGGGCAGGGAAGCTAGCAGCAAGATAAAATTTGCATGAGAAGTGATTGGGAGAAATGGGTGAAGAGCGTTGGGCTAGGACGGTTTTCAGCTACTTGTACATCAGGAATGTCGATACAAAAAGGAGGAAGCGAACCAGAAAATTGACTAGTAAATAATTAGAAAACAGCAGGGGGCCAAACCAAAAAGAACTATTGGTTAAGAAGAAGGTGAAGGAAACGGAGATTGATATGTGGATGATTGGCATGATTAAGAAGTCCGCACTAGAGATCTGTCAAACTTTTAAGCAGGAAATTGCCAAGGAAAGAATCTATGATAATACTCGGGGTAGTTCTCTACTGTTTGAGGCCAGGACGGGAGTATTGCAAACCAAGACATATCGGGCCAAATACGAAGGGGTAGACACAGTATACAGTGCATGTGGAGAGGAGGAGCAAACTGCCGAACACTTGATAATGTTCTGTAAAGGGTTCGACCCTATAGTACCGGATGATGGCGCAGAGTTTTTTAAAGCACTGGGGTTTAGGGACAGGGAGGTCAAATAGACTTTAAGTGCGTAGAATTTACTAGTAGAAGGTTATCTGATTGGTGGCTGAAGTCAAGGCACGAGTGAAAATTAAAGCCTTCACTGCAAAGTACCATGCAGTCCTCAACTTCACTATTTAAAGAAAAAAAAAGATAAATATAATGGTTAGTTCACCAAGTATTTCGACGAGGTAGCCAGCCGCCGCCCGATCTAAAGAATACAGCCACATTCATCCATCCATCCATCCATCATTGCGCTAGGGCAGTATGGCAGCTGCTTTGGTAGCGGGTGCGGGAGTCGTGGTGCGCGCCCGCAGGTTTATGGGCGTTTATTCGGTGCTATTGCAGGATGGTATTCGCGCACACGGCACCCTAAAGTTACTATGAATATTTCTGATATGCCGCAGGTGACCGAGAGACCTCAACTGGCAAAAAAAAAAACAAAAAAAACACGCCAAGCAAGTAAGCTTACATTGTTTATTGAAAATCGTGAATGCAGCAGTATACATGTAAACAAGGAACACTGTCTCTCACACAGTTGAACAATACTTGCAAAAAAAAAAAACAGCGATAGCCATCTGTTCAATAAAATTACCCGCTGAAATTGTGCAATTTTGTCTCTTGGTTCGTTCAGTCAGACAACGATATTCACACTGGACACCCCTTGCACTGTACTTGGTATTGGTTTTTTCACCACACATGCTCTCAAAAAAGTGCAGTGTCAGTACGATTAGCCTGAGCCGCAATATGATATTTGACAACGCATTGGCGAGAAGCACATCGCATTGAATAAAAAGAAATGATCCCACGCTGTTGTGCTAGGTATTCCTGCATTCTTCTCGATATCGTGTTAAGAATCTGTGTTTTTAATTGCGCGTCCGATCTTTTTACGACTAACCAGATCAACTTCCAGTTGTGGTAAGCAAGTGCATCCTGGAAAAACACCATTTACAGGATCATGTTGAAAAGGAAACTTGGTTTACGTTTCAAGAGAGGTAAAAGGGTTGCAGTGACAGGCGCTTTAATTGAGTAACAGTTGACGAATAATGAAAGCCTGAGTCAAAAAAAAATTCAGCAAGTCAACATTCTTGACAAAGTTGTCACAGATGACAAGTTAAGAGAATTAGCTACCCTTGCCCTTGTTCGCCTACTGTAGATCAGCTGATGCACGAGATACAGGATGCCTGTTGGTGCTCCCAAAAGCACTCATTCGTAAAAAATAAATTATGCACCAGTGGATAGCACTCGCAATACACTTCACATGTCATATATGCATACAATAGGGACATATGGAACACTAGGTTTTTTGCTAAACAAAGCCCGCCGATAAAAACTTTTGCTAATGAATATTTACTTGCTTTGAACCAAATGGCCCTTACTTTTTGAATTACCTTCAAAGTTTTTATGCTGTGCATTGACAGATGAATAAATGAGTTTTTTTTTTGTCAATCATGCATAGTCATCAAAGACACTGCTCAAACTGTGAGCAACGGCAAAAGCTGAATTCACATTTTTATTCTTCACTACTCTCTAACTGTCTGCCTCACTCTTAACACGGGTATCATACAAAACTAGTACTTTTGGCTACATATTTCACAGCAACATCAAGGAAATAGCTGTTAGTAGCCATTCGAATTATCAACATGTACAAACACTGACCAACTTCGATTATATCTATTGAGTGCCCTCAGACATTGTTCTGTTAAAAAAGAACATACCTTTAAAAATGCCTTTTCATGTGTCAGGTATTTTACATAGAACAAATAATATTACAGCAAAAAGGTCGTTATTTGAACTCGGTTAAGTAAAAGCGCACAGCCCTGTGTATTTCTATTGGGGGAAATCTCTCAACAATTTGAACACATTGGCATCCACAACAGCTAATTCAAACTGGGAGCCCCTTGTTTTCGTTGTTGCTCGCACAAGAATGTCTAGAGTGATCACAACATTTTGCAAAAACAAACCAAACTAAATTAACTAGAGGAGGAAAACTTAACATCAGCATTTCTCAGCAGATGAGATTTCGGATGCTGAGCAGGAGCCCTTGGACAAGCAAGGAATGATGGTCATGGAGTCACAGTAGAATAAATGCAAGCGAATGTAAATTACTGATTACTTCTCATTTTGATTGCATTAACTCTGTGATGTAAACAAGCATGTTTCAAAGCACAAATATTGACATACGTTTAAACAGTAAGGCTCACTGCTTGCGTGCATGTCGGTGCTTGTTTTTGGCGTATCATCAGCCTGATTACACTTACTGCAGGACAAAGGCCTCTCCCATGATCGGCCAATCAACTTGGTCCTGTGCTTTCTGCTGCCACGTTATACGTACAAACTTTATAATATCATTGCCCACCTAACCTTTTGTCTTCACTTCATGTGTTTTCCTTCTCTGTGAATCCAGTCAGTTACCCTTAATGACCAGCGGTTATTCTGCCTGCGTACTACGTGCCCAGCCCTTGATTTAAACTACGATATCCTTAACACTGATTTGTTCCCTGACCCACTCTGCTCTCTTTTTGTGTCTTAAGGTTACATCTATCAATTTCCTTTCCATCGCTCGCTGCATCGTCCTCAATTTAAGCTGAAACCTCTTTGTAAGCCTCTAGGTTTCTGCTCCGTAGGTAAGTACGGGCAAGACACAGCTGTTATATACTCTCTAGCTGTTATAACCCTCTAGCTCTTGAGGATTACTGACAGATTATCATTCATGATTTGAGAATGCATGCCGAATGTGATCCACCCATTATTATTCTACCTTATTTTTCTAGGTATTTTATTTACTCTCATGGTTCGGCTCCGCGATTGCTACCTCCGCAAGACATGTCTTGCTTAATGAAGGCACGAGTTCTTGCACAGTTTTTTTAGTACTTTGACAGTGTCACTCCCGACATGCACGCAGTATAAGTAACTGTTTCAACACTACTATAGCTGTACCTACCACTGCCTTGCAACAGTCTTTACATTCACAGCAATCTATACACAATGGGAAAAAGAAGTGCTGCTAAATATGCGCTACTACAAGCCCATTGGTTACCTAGTTATATGTGATACTCTATGCAAAGTTCGACACGTAGAGTGAAGTACAGTATGTGCACCCCATGACATGCACTGTCCAAGAATTTTGAAGCCTGCACATTTCCTGTAAACTGAGTAATTCATAAAGCAAGAAACAACAATCTGTGCACCCAATTTTGTACAGCTTGTACATACCGTACGCTATCACTGCTTTTCAGTATAAGGCTTCCATTTGTCCGCCTGGCATATTGGTGGCGCATGGGGTTGTCACTATGGCAACTGTAGAGCTTCTAACGACTAGATGTGGGTAGCTTGGAAATCAATGGTCTCTCTTTAGTCCAGTTTTCTGAGAAGAAAAAAAAAAACAGACTCATGAGCAGGGTAATTAAGACATAAATGATTGAACAAATTGTGTTCAATAAATAAAGTGTCTTCAACCATACCTTGCGAGAATTTTAGCCAATGAGCTTGATTTCAGTGATGACACATTCTACGCTGACTTGAGGTCGGTTCAGAGTGATGAGACATCCAAGCCTACACTGATATGAGCAGTTTCTTGGAGGCTGCGGTTGGGTTGTAAGAAAAAAAAGTCCTGGTTACTCTGATAGAAGCGTGAATGGATTTGTAGTGCATGACTAAGAAGAATGCATATGGGAACACTGCATATAAGAAAGGTAGTGTGGACATAGCATTGCTGTTTTTGTGAATTTGTCTTGTGAATGGCATTATAATGAATTTGTTTTAGTGACGTTCTTCAGAGGGCAAACCTAGGTGATTCCCCAACTGTATGGACTATATGGCTCATGAAAATGTAATAAGCTTCATTGCAAACTTACGAAAAAATGTACAAATGCATATATGTACTAAAGGTTCACTTGGCTCTACTATGTACTGAATTTATGAGCATATATTGCAGCAGACTCATTTTGAGCAGAAACAGGTAGAACTTATGCTGTGATCTGTGCTACAAATTTTAGCAGTAAAGATATTTTCAGCGAATGTGACAACGAAGTAAACAATCTCAAACATTCACAAGGTGTGCATCTCATTAGCTGTACAAGTTGAAGATCCTTATGAAATGACAAACACTGTAGCGCATGAAAAATAAAAGGACCATGTTCAGATGCAAAGCAGCGCATTTTCACTCACCGGCGAACACGCCCACATTGTGCAAGATTATTCCGTCTTCGTGGGCAGTCTCCGAGCGATTTGCCGGCGTTTAATTTTCACGCTGGAGGCTGCGCAGTCGGACGTCGGTGAAGCACAGCAGCTGACTTGGTTCACAGCCTCTAGGCACGTTCGCTTCGTCGTAGCGGCCCGTAGAGTCTGATACACAAGCTCGGATTGATATATCAAAGCTGAATTAAAACCGAGCTACGCAATGCCGATCGACCAAAAGTACCGCGGCAAACCGCGGACAATTTGAACAAATTAACCGACAGAAACGCAATCGATGCCAACGGGCGGCTGCTTTTCGAGCGTCAGCACCTCAATTCTTGAACTAAAACAATCACCACTTTTCTTATATTGTAAAAGTAAAAAACATTTTTTTTTCAATTTTTTTTGAAAAGCGACGATTTTTAATAGTTTTTTATACATCCTAAAATAAAAAGTTCAACCGCGTTGAGCGCCCCTAACAGAGAAAATGCACACTCATAGAGCTTCCCACAATACTTACTAGAGAGAACTCTGGCGCTAGCTGCAACGCACGGCTACAGTGTCTAGAAATATTCTAGGCACTGTAGCACGGCTCTTCAGCGAGCATGGGAATGATGGGCTGTTTTCTTATGAAACAAGTATTAGCAAATGTTCAGCGGTTGCACTTCAGCATTTTATTTTTTTAGACTTACTTTCCAAATCGGCTCACGAAGTTCAAAAGGGTTCAATCTTCCTTTCAAAACAAAACCGAAACACAGCAATAAACGAAGCCGCAAGTACGAAAATTAGACAAATGTGTGTACTACCCATCATTTTCATGGTCGCTGAACGATGATGATGATGATTATTAAAGGCCTCTTCTTTGAATCGGGGTAACAGCATGCGCCATCTAGCCTACCTTAATAGTTCGAGTTTAAATTTTGTCCCTCAACTCGGATGTCTTTTTAATTTTGCCCAGCCGCTACTCTTGGCTGGGATGTTATTTTATTGACTTCTCTGCTTTTCCTCCACCAATACTCTAGCCGCTGCTTAGTAATACCTACTGCTGACCAGTTAATGCTTCCGTCAACCGCGAAGCCCAGCGCCTCAGGAAGTGTGACTTTCCCCCCATTTCTATCCGGCTGAATCTTTTGGCATTCCCTGACTATGTGGTCGATTGTTTCTTTATTTATGCCACATCCAACACATGTCTCATCCTGTGACGAATATTTGCTCCTGTAAGTTAGAGTTCTCAAGCAGCCAGCCCGTGCCTCAAAGAGCAACGCACTACCTTTATTGTTGTCATTAAGGTTCTCTTTCCGGATCTCTTGTTTGCTTGTCTTGTAGATTCCCAGCGATCCCTACATTTCCATCCTCTCTTTCCACATGAGCGTCTCTGTTTCCCTCACTTGCTTTTTAACTGGCCCCCTTTGTTTATTTGCCGCGGTCAAGTTATATTTAGTCGCCAGCTTTCGCGTCCTCTTCCGCCATTGGGTGTCCACACTTTTCAGGTACAGGTACCTGTGCACTCTGGCTGCCCAGTTCTTCTCATCTAAATGTCTAAGTCGCTCCTCAAACCGTATTTTACTTTGTGCTTCCCTCGCCTCAAATGAAGACCAACCCATATCGCCTTGTACAGCCTCGTTTGTAGTCTTACTGTGAGCTCCCAGAGCTAACCTGCCGACTGCCTTTTGGTTAACCTACGATCGCAGCGCCAGAGTGCCCTCTAGTTAATTTTGAGAAACTCTATGTGCACACTAACTTATCCGACCGCTAAAAGAGGAGATAGTAGTTCCACTATACGCGCAAATGACGAAACTTACGATAGATAGATAGACGGATGTGGCTGTACCCTTTATATCAAGCGGCGCCTAACGTCGCCTAGCCGTAATACTTAGTGAACTAACCACTAGAATTATCTTTTTTTCCCCCTTTAAATAGTGAAGTTGAGGACTGGTACTTGGCAGTGAATGGTTTAATTTTCATTCGCGTCTTCACTTTAGCCACCAATCAGATAACCTTCTTCTAGTTAATTCTACCCGCTTAAAATCTATTTTGCCCTCCCTGTCCCTAAACCCCAGTGCTTTGAAAAACTCTGCGCCATTATCCTGAACTATAGGGTGAAGCCCTTTACAAAACATTATCAAGTGTTCACTAGTTTCCTCCTCCTCTCCACATGCACTGCATACCGTGTCTACCCCTTCGTATTTGTCCCGATATGTCTTGGTTCGCAATACTCCCGCCAGGCCTCAAACAGTAGAGAACTACACCGACTACTATCATAGATCCTTTCCTTGGCAATTTACTGCTTAAAATTTCGATAGATCTCTAGTGCGGACTTGTTAATCATGCCGATCCTCCACATGTCAGTCTCCGTTTCCTTCACTTTCTTTTTAACCGATAGTTCATTTTGGTTTGGCCACTTGCTGTTTTCTAAGTATTTACCAGTCAATTTTCTGGTTCGCTTTCTCCATTTTGTATCGACTTTCTTCATGTACAAGTAGCTGAAAACCTTCCTAGCCCAACGCTCCTCCCCCATTTCTCTCAATCACTTCTCAAATTTTATCTTGCTGCTAGCTTCCCTGCCCTCAAATGATGTCCATCCCATATCACCTTGTACTCCCTGATTTGGTGTATTTCCGTCAGCTCCCAAAGCAAGCCTACCTATTCCACGTTGCTTAATTTTTAATCTTGCTTAAACTTCTGATCTCATGCACAAGATCGCATTGCCGAACGTCAGCCCAGGAACCATGATTTCTTTCCATATTCCTCTCACAACATCATACCTACTGTAATTCCACAGTGCCCTATTTTTCATCACTGCTGAATTTCTGTTACCTTTAGTCGTCACGTATATTTCGTGTTTCCTTAGCTACTCGGTCCCATTGCTTATCCATACGCCCAGATATTTATATTCATCTGTTATCTCTAGCGTGACTTCCTGTGTCCTGAGCTCACAACCTTCATTATCATTAAAAGCATGACTGCTGATTTTTCCTTACTGAATCTTAAATCTAACCTATCTCACTCATTACCGCAGATGTTTATCAATCTCTGCAAATCTTCCTTGTTGTCGGCCATTAGCACTATATCATCTGCGTACATTAATGCTGGTAGTGCCTGATCAATGAGTTTTCGTTGTATGATGAAAGAGAGGTTAAAGCAAAGTCCACTTCCCTCTAATTTGGCCTCTAATACTTGTAGGTACATCATGAATAACAAGCTTATCATACATCCTATGTGACATCCGTGCGTAATTTATCATTGATTGCAGCCTTCCTACCTCCCATGTCCTAAAGCATAAGAAAGCAGCTCCTCCAAGTGGCGCTTCAGCGAGGAGTTGAGAGTGGATCAACCGACAAATTGCTGACGCGTCAGGCACTGGGAAGTTTTGGGAGGCACTGGTGTGCTGCAGCGAATGGCATCATGGGATAAAAATTTGCGCCATGTTGGTAGGCAGCGTCTGATACTAGTATTTACGTTTCGCCTGTAAATAAAGTGTTTTTGTAGTTGCTTTTGGCACGCCTGAACAGCAAGCTCGTCTCCAACGATGAGTCCGGCGGAAACGAAAAAAAACAAGCGACGAAAGAACAAGAAGGTGGCACGTTCTCCAGGGAAAGAACGGATTGAAGGCGAAGGCATGTCTTCAGATGTTGGCAGTGCTAATCCCTGTATTGGCCAAAGCGGAAAGGTACACAATTCTCTACACTTGCTTGCAACTCTGTGTGGTGTTATCCTACTCCATGTGATAGCATGAGCAGTAGGACTGAATGCACTAGTACGTTTCACTATCCTTTGTGCGTGCCTGACGTATGAAATATGATAAATCGGACTCTGGGCGGGGAAGGAGAGTACCGTGTCTGGATGTGTTTTTAGGCTAGTGCTTGTTTTCACCTGGCAGTCTAGAAAGAAAGGAAAAAATACAGCGCGGACACTTCTCAACTACAATTATCCTTGTGTGTATTGTGAGAGGTTGGGAGTAGTCATCTCCATCCGATGAACAAGATAGGGAACCGAAGCACGTTTCCGGTATCCTCGTGCGGATTGTTCAATCCTTTCCCGCCTTTTAGTGTTTTAACAAAGATCGCACCGTTCGCATGCCTTTGTTTCGTGTTATTTTTGTTCAGTGATACACGAGTAGTTTCCGTGTGTGACGATATATTTCATGACCGTATGTTGGTTGCTAGTTCACACCCACTGTCGTCTGAGAACTATAAACGATTTAAATGTTCTCGTATGATTTTTTTCGTTTCGAGCTGGTAGTACTGAACACTTAAATATGGGTACAAACCGCCCGACAATTAAACATTAGGCATGGCGACGATAGCATAACGTCCATTTTCCCCAGTGCTCCGTTGAAAATAAGAAAACGGCTGTATGTGAGTGACCTGTGTACTCAAATATTCTACCGCATTCACTTGATGCTCGTAATAGGTCTACTTTTATGATTTTGTTCAGTGCCTTACATCTTCAAATCAAATTCAGAGGTTCATGTAAATGTTACAAGCTGATTTGTATGTCGGCTATCCAGGACATTTTAACATTGGAAGTAATATTTTATTTTATATCAATGTATACAAGCACCAACCAAAAACTTTACCGTAATGTTTTGAATTATAGACCTGTTTGAAAATTCATTCATACTTCATTGTGTTGTCTTGTTAATATTAGTAGTCATTTTGCTGGTGTTTGTCTTGAACTGTTTGAACATAGAACTGCTTTCTATGTCAGCAATTATACTAGATACATGTGAATGGTGTATACTGTTACTTGTTTGCTTATTTGGTGTGTTAAAGGAGGCTATGAGGATACTGATTCTGGGCATCATTGACACATAATGGTGCAATTTTGCAAATGGTACAACGAATATATTGGTTGTAATGGCTCTTAAAGGGTTGGTGGCATCGCATTTCAAGGCTAAAACAAGTCTCTTATGGGTTTTCGTTGCAGGCTAGCACACTCCACACGAACAGTCGAACAGCAAACATTTAAAATGTATTTTAATGCACCTCCAAAGTGTCCCTAAATGCTCATTCTCCCGTCCAAAGCCCATCGCAAGCGCATCCAGAGCTCTCGTAGATCTCTAGGAAGGCCAACAAAAGTTGCAGTGACGTCACATCATATACGTAGTGAGCGTAGGCGTGCGCATGTTTCCCCTCCAGGGGAAGCGAACAAAGGTTCATTGCTGACTTTGCGCCCGATCTAGGGGTGCAACAGCTGTGCCAGTTTGATACGATTCCTTATTGTTGCGCCAAACCCATGATATTGCTCAAATTGCAAACATGCATCCAGAACACAACGTCGGAAGAAGAATAGCGAGGGCCAGGACTATACTTCGTCAAGTCTCAAACGAGGAATGAGGGGTCGTATTTGTTGACGCGGCTTCCTACGCCAATGGGAAAGCGTTTGTGGCAGTGGTAGTCGATGGGGCTGGCCATGTCGTCAACTCAGCGACGGTCAGGACGAAAGACCCAATCATTGCGGAACAAGTGGCCATCGCCTTAGCACTCAAGATGGATAACATTGAAGTCGTCTACAGTGATTCCATGGCAGCACTACGGGCGTTCGCCAAGGGGACAGTCTGTGAACAAACGCTGAAAATACTGCAAGGCAAGAACATAACACATCATCTTCTGAGTTGGTTCCCAGCTCACCTTGGACAAATCAACGATTCCCCTCCCAATCTCAACGAAACAGCACACGAGGCGGCGCGAGAACTCTCCAACCGCGCCTCCCCGGGGATGCGTTCTACCGGTGAAGGGGATAACCGGGAAATTCTTACAACATATAACGAGCTCACTAAACATTTCTACCTGTCTAGAAGGATTTTCCCTCCACCTCACAAAAATCTAACCCGGCCCCAAGCACTTACATTAAGGCTTTTGCAAAAGCGGATGTACCCTACTTTGAAAATGTTACACATCATGTACCCTGACCTATACCCAAGTAATCTTTGTCCACATTGTGGGGAAATAGCTTCATTAGAACACATGCTCTGGCAGTGCACCAAATTCGCTCATTTATCGCACATCACCTCTGCCAGATGGGAGGCGGCAATCCGCAGCTCGTCCTTGGCAGATCAGCTCTGGGCTGTCCACCAAGCCCGCGAGGCGGCTGAGGAGCTTGGCATCTCAGTCCCCACGTGGGAGCTGCCCGCAACACAGTGATCTGTGTTTTGGAGGACCAAATAAAAGTTTATCCAATCCAACCACACTGTGCCAAAATGCCCAGCCAGCCTCAATTTTTTTTCAAATGCACTAATTTCGGCGAGAAATACAGGCCACGTTGGTCACCTGCACCATCAGCCGTGGGAATAATAAATTTCCTAGCATGAAAATTGCGGCTGTGGCTGTTAAGAACTAAAGCTGGAAGCGTATGCCACGTTTTTCTTGCGCGAACAAGCGTGACATGCTGCGAATGCCGGTGTTGTCAGCGACCATGTTGATTTCCTTAGCCGTGGCACATAAACATTATCGTTGTCTTAAAGTTACGTCGTCCCTGCCACAGTCCTGGTGATACTGTCCGGTACCGTCGCCAACGGGCGCGCGCCATTGTTACTTTACTTGGTCGAACGCACCTTTCAAGGGAGCCGAAGGGGCACCTTTCCTCACCGTGAAAAAAAAAAAGGGGGGGGGGGGGGGGGGAGTAGGTTAGTGGTACAGTGGTTAGAAAATTTCTTGGCTTTGGTTCTAATGCTGCTTGAGCACTTTCGTCGCAGTGCACGGGTGCCGTGTGGAAAAGCGTATTGTGATTTAGAAGGGGCTGTTAGCGCTAGTGGGCAATTGTGCATTTTGCTCAGTTACTCATGCATTTGTACGCCGCACATTTTTTAGTACAAGTATAATCACTGACGTCTAAATAAGGTACTTGCAATAATTTGAAGCAGTGTATGACATATCTGCTTCCCTTAAAAAAAACAACTAAATTGTGCTACAGCTTTTTTTTTTTTGCCATCGCTAATCCTCGGTTTTACGAGTCTCCCAAATTTCAATGTCGCGAGCTAGGCAGATTCATATTTAAATTTGCAGAGTCTGATGATTTGATAGGCACAGCTAATGCTAATATAGACTTTATCATTGTTTGCTCAGTGGGGTGGTTGATTGAAATAGCAGTGCTCATGTTTGCACTGCAAGATTTAGGTGATGTTGAATGGTTTACACACATTCTTCTTTTCTAAATGTAAGCCTTTTTTTTATACTGCTCTAAATTTGGTATTTCATTATAAAAATGCATGTTTTTTTCTCCATAACCTGCTCTAAATTTAGAATTTAGTGCTCCAAAAGTAACATTTTGCTGCTTTGAAATTGCATGAAATTATATTTCGGCTGTTGCGCCCCTGCTGCTCCCTAAGTCGTGGTGCTCCCTTCCTATTATGTCAATGTGTTGGACTGTGTTTGCACAACCCCCCTCGTAGGTGACTATGGGAATGACCGCCCTCTTACCCCTGTCCTGTGCGCCCACCTATTGTAGGGAGGGGTCACCTCTGAAGACCTCCGCCACTTTAATAATAGCAAAGCATTGCGACTGCTACACAGTTGTTTTGCAGGTGCTTTTGTGGCACGTGTGTGCGAGAAAGCCGGCGAGAGCAGACGATAATCCGCCTGACCTGCGTCACAGCCTTGTGTGGTCACATGGCCAAGCTACACTGCAACGTCATTGTTAAGAACAAGGACACCTGGTCGTGGCTCTGAACGACGATATTTACTCCATCAGGGCAAGCTCCGCATTCCTACTTCCTTCTTTTGTTTCTCTACGTCTATCGCGCGTCCCCCCCAAGCCCATGCCCCACTTCTTTATTTGAACATCCTCCAAGGGGGAGGAAACGCGTGACAAAATCCATGCTGTTGCTAACAACATGTACAGAATTTGTGCCGGCGGCCCATCACATGGTAAGTTGCCAAACACACGAAGCAGGATCTGACCAGTTTGTCCCGCCCCTGATGCAGCTACCCCACTCCGAGAGGTGTTCTTGTACAACACCACATCGATGAAACCACTGTGAGATGAAGCCTGCTAATGCAACTCGCAATCAATGCACGTGCTTCCATGCAGCGTTTTGCAGTCTTCTCCATGAAGTGCCCGGATACATGCACCGATGTTTCTTGCTGCGACCTGAACCCTGTGTCTTGCGCTCTCGCTGAGCCGTAGCAATAAGCTTGCTGCAACGCTTGCACAGTTGGTTCGCGCTGTAGAGGTTCAGCTGTGGCTCCTTTTCCAAAACCCTCTGCTTTACTTTCAGAGGCACAAGCTGTGTGTTGGTGGGCTTTTCTTTTAGGCTGAACACCTGCTCTTGTTGGACCTTTTCTGCACGACCATCTTTGAAGTAGGTGGTGATGACCCTGTCGTACTGTTGCAGCAGTACTGGTTGTTCCCGAAATTGGTTCTGCTGCATATTCAGTTGATGTGCTGCAAGCTCTTGGTTTTCGCTCTCGGGAGAGAGACCAGGCTCCTAAAGTATTAATGGAATTCGATAACGGTCAGCTTGCCTGCTCAGGCAGTATTCAAATCTTTCGAGGTCTGGATGATCTCCCACTTTTGCTTGGCCTCATTCTCTCAATATCGATCATGTCGAGGTGCGACAAAGCCGATTCTTTACCCTGAACGTCAGTCGACATGAGGAGAGCACAAGTTGCAATACCTGCATGGTGCAAGCTTCTTCCCTGCACAGTCCACCCGAAAAATGTTTTCAAC